TTAGTGCATATTCAAGAGCAGGTAGGCCTCTAAGACATCAAAATTAAGATGTATTTATGTATAACCAAATGTGTGATGGCAGTCAATTTGAACGGCAAGTTTTTTTTTGGCAAATAAATGCTTGAATTTGAAGCCGTGTCGATTGTGTTTTTGGTCGGTTTGTCTCCTACCTTGTCATAATATATATAAGTAGGGGAAAGTTTATAGTATTGAGCTGAAACTTCACAGGGGTGTTGAGAACAATAAGAAGAACACTATGTTGTAGTTTGAAATAATTTTATTCAGTTTTACCACTTTTATTGAACTTTTCGTTTTTCACTGTCAAGCCCAGTGCTTGGGCTACCTGTGGGCGAACCAGGTATCGGAAAAACGCTGTTTTCGCAGAAGATCGTCAGAGACTGGTCAACAGATTGCATATCGATCCCTAACATTCAGTCCACTTACCTGATAACGTTCAGGCAACTTGTCCTGCTTGGCAACAAAGAGCTTACCCTCAGAGAACTGCTTAACCGCTTCCCGCTGTTGAACGAAAGAACCATGATTGACGAGAAAGTGATGACACACATCGCTCAGCACTCAGACCAGTTATTTATCATTTTCGATGGATTTGATGAATACAAAGATCGCAGAAAAATATTGGGAGCTTTTGAAAGCCAATTTCCGAATGATGTTGAAGCCAAGATGTTTGCAGCTGCTCTGGTCAGCAAACTAATCCAAAAAAAGATCTTGTGCGATTCAGTCATCTTGATAACCTCGAGACCGGGCGGAGCCGACGAGTTGTATGAAAAACTCCACTTTGACAGATTTGTGAACATTGACGGCTTCTCAGAAACACAAATAATTCACTATGTTGAGAAGTATTTCAACTCTAAATCAGAAGAAGTAAAAATGATGGCCATGGAGAAAGTCAAAGGAACCGCACATTTCATGTCATTTGGTCGCGTCCCTCTGATGTGTTTCCTGATGTGCGCGGTCATCGAGTATGAAATCCAAAATAACATTACTAGAGATAAGTCAGTTCCTCTAAAACTTACACAGTTTTATGGTGAAGTTATTAGGTGTCTAGAGAGGAATAATAGAGAAATCCGTAGTTTGGATGAAGAAGCCTCCTTATTAGCTGTTGAGAAAACTTTGAATAATTTTTCAAAACTAGCCGCACGGTTATATGACCAAATTCGCTTTACTTTCTAGTTGATGGAGGTTTTGGTTTTCATAAAGGATACTCGTATCATCGGCAAATAGATGGAAGGAAAATACACTACTCGAATTTTGTATGTCATTGACARAAATGAGGAAAAGAAGTMGTCCTAGAACAGACCCTTGAGGAACACCACAAAGTACTGGTTCATAACATGAAATAGAGCCATCTATTGAAACTGTTTGTTTACGATTTGATAGATATGACTTAAACCAATCAAGCATGATTCCTCTAATCCCGTAATGATGAAGTTTACTTACGAGAATGTCATGATTGACCGTGTCAAAAGCTTTTTTTAAGTCAATAAAAATACCACATGTATATTTCCCTTTATCCATGTTGTTTTGTATTTTGTGAATAATGTCAATGATCGCATGTTCAGTATTGTGCTTTTTGCGGAAGCCGTATTGTGAATCACATAGTACATCATATTTTTCAAAGAACTTTGTAAGGCG